TTCACTTATTAGATGAACCCAAAGCTAAAGAAACTATGGATTCCATTTCTTTTTCTTATTACAATGTGTAAAAGATCGGAGACAAAATGGGGTTGTAAATATTTTGATATAAAATTATTTTACATCAATAAAATTATTTGCAACCCTATTTTGGCTCTGATCTTTCACGGCAAACAAACTATTTTGGCATCAGTGTCTTTTTTCCAATTAAACCGGGTGACAAATGCAAATAAGGAAGCATATAGAAGAATTATTTGTTGCTGAACTGAAGAAACTATAACATAAAGATAGAAAAACTGTATCTCAATCACTTCAAACAGGAGAATATGAATCATACTCAATCTTCGCAGGTGGTGATATAATGCAAACACCACTATTAGTCTAGAAAAACTTCAATATTTAAGAAATGAGAAAATGCCTGCAAGGTTTTCTTAACAAGTATTTTATACTTAAGTGAATGTAGAAAATTAAATAGGTACTACAAAAAAAATATTTATTTGAAAAAAATATTTTGAAATTACCTATTTTTCATTTAATATTTAAAATACAAAAGAGAAATCTATTTTGCATTTTGCATTTGAAATAACAAATCAAAAAAGTATTTGCGTTTTGTATTTAAATACTTTTAAAAAACCATTTTGCACATCTCTGCTTATTTGTTTGTGTTTTTTTTCCTGCTGACTTAACTATACATAAACTAAACAATAACACGTAATATTTTAAATTCTGATTTAAAACTTCGTTTATAAATGAATGTAATTGTTGTGACTTACATTGGCTAATTGTATTTCGAAGTTCAATGAATCTTCTAGTTCTTTTTTCGCTCTTTCTTTATCGGCACCGAACATAACAGAAATATCGACCATGTAGTTATAGTAAGCACGAACAAGTTTATCTTCCAATCCTTTTATAAGAAACTCCCTTCGTAATCCTAAAGCTCCTTGATCCAGCTGAAAAGTCAGTTATTATTAGCAACGAACTATGTCCTTTTCATAAAACAATTTTTGTTGTTTTGCCACACTATTGCAGAAGACAAAATTATCTTCTTCAATGTTTACTACGTTGCTATAGTTTGTAAGTCCTTTAAGGCATGCATTAGTAAATTGTTAAGTTTCAATTGTTAATCGATATGTGTATCACTGTATATTTTTTATATTTGCAAACATTTAAATGTTAATTGATTCGAAATCACTTTATATGTTCCTCATTTCGTTTTATGAGCGGTATAATCGTTTGCCCTATGTGCATTAAATTTTTTTTATTAATTTTTTGTGAATACATAATTTGTTGTAGCGAAACAATTGACAAATTAAGTTTGGGAAACTGTTTTGATTGTTATCAACTTTACATGTATTTCCTTCAACTAAACATTGATAAGATTAATTACTTTTTGTAACTTGAGCACACTTACATCAATTATACGTTTTGTAGAGTTCTTAAGATCAATGCCAATCGAAAAGTCGATAAAGTAATCAATACTGTATCCAGTTTTCCTAAATTTATAAACCAGTTCTTTCCAATCGAATTGTTCTTCGTTCCAGTTATCTCCTTCTAGAACAGGCCACCCTCCGATCTCTTTAAAAATGTCCTTCACAACGTCTAATCCTTCTTCTTCTATCGCAGTCTTATTCATACAGGCCCTGTACAATTTTTTCATCAAACCAAAAGGTTTCAGATCGCCTGGTTTGATAGGTTCTTCTATCATGACATGAAGCTGTTCTTGCAACATGTCGCTTATTAAACTGAACGAGGTAACAGATGATTTGTCATCCGGTATTGTTGTACTCCTAACAAAGTTTCCACATGAAAATTGATAGAAGTCTTCGCAAGGGTCCACTGATGTGTCCATTGCTTGAAGCACCTTCGACGCTGCATGGACACATCCTGGTTCCAGGCATACTTCTCTAAACGTTTCATCGTATGATGGGAAAGCACTTATTATTGCGGGTTCATGATTACTATGGAGGGCTTCGTATCCATAGGGTAAATCCTCTCCTAGAATTTTAAAGGTCCTGATCGATCTCGGTTATTTTGTTTAGGGAAAATATTTGTCTCAAAAAAGATTGAAAATTTTTCATCTAAATGACGTTTAATGACATAAGACCGTTAAATGATTATTCTAAATAAAAATTGTTTTAAGTTGCTGAAGAATCTTTAATAGATTTTCGTGTGGAAATTTTGTATGAATGAACCGATTTGGAGAAAGGAAATTTATATACATATCTAGTAGTTTTTGCTTATTAATTTCTGAGAAATTAGAGATTTTTAGAGAACTTTCTTGATCGTTATCTATGGCAAAAGTCATGAATCAGTAATGATATTATTGTCATTTCTTTTTATTATCAATATCATCCGTTCTCAGTGGAAATACAATCAATTATGTGTTAACATGAAAGAAAAGCAACATGAAAAATTAAAGAAAATGCTGAAAATAATTAAATGAGACAACACCAGGATAACTAGATAGGTATATTCTTAGAAAGTGTAGTTTTTGTAAATAATTTTTATGCTATTTGTGAATAATTATTATGCCGTTCTGTCACTTGGTTCAGTTCACGAACAAAACTATTTAATTGAATGGAAAGTGTTAAAAAATGGACAAAATTCACTGCTATCGTTACTAACGCTTTTACTAGAACGTCATCATATCCAACAACATAAATCATTTGTTACTTTCATTTGCTGCAGCGAGGCAAAATTAATTTTCTCCGTCGCATGAGAAATGAACTTTTCATGGCTTTTCACCTGTAATAATCACATTAACTTAATGACGGTTATTAGGCCTTCACAGTTTCAATCTCCTCTCTCCAATTAAAAATTTACCTAAAAGAAGTGTCATAGACTTTTTGAGATTCTACGTATTATACTTTTCGGTGAAGCAGCTTTTCAACGTGTCAGACTGTAATTTGTGAAAGTGACCGTAGTTTTGTAACAGTCATCACTAGTACAGCATACGGATAACTATTTAACCATAGGTACCAGTGAAAGTTTTGCTTCAATTAACTTTATGAATGGAAAAAGTTTTTGTAACTAGAGTATTATTAGATTAAGCCACCGGATTACGCTGTTTTTGGTTTAATTACTTCGTCGGGTGTCGTTACCGTTATTAGTAACAGCTAGAGCAAAAGTACAAAGATTTTGTGGTAGGTATAGTAAATTGGGAAAGCAATTTGATGATTATGTGAGAACAAAATGTGTATATGCGTAAAAAGTTCAGATTAGATAAGTTTTTTTACAATTATATATAGTACTTACCATCATTATCTTGGTTACTTTGGTAAAGAACTATCCCGAGCGCAATTACCAACGCAATTGCCAGAATAAAAACAATTGCAGCTATCAGGGTCAAATATTTTTCTAAACTAGTCCTCTTTCTCCACCATGTTGGATTTCTGAAACAATAATAGTAAATTAATTTAATATGCAATTTATAATAAATTATTATAGTTTATCAAGTTTTTAAATATTTATTTTAACAATAAATAATGATTTTAAATGGTATCAATTATAACAGCAAATGAAAAATTACTCATTCAGAGAGACTCAGGACCCAAGATCGCCCTCTTTGTATAAACTAATTGTGAATTTAAAAAATGATTGTCAGTTAAAGCCTGTTTTGGACATTTTGATTTATTTGGCACATAATCGCCACAATAAAATACGTTGGCAATCTAATGAAGGAAAAAACTAATTATTGTTCAAAAAGTCATCTTTATTTTGTTTCCGTCTCATTACTTTATCGACTTTAGTTGTTTAAAAAGTAAACTATACTGTATTTGACTACTAATTTGCACAGTTCATCTAACGAACCAATTTATTAACACTGAAACTACTGCTGAATGTAGATATTTTATGCGCACTTACCAATACTATTTTTTATTTAAATTTTATACTAACCAAAAACATGGTCGTATTTCTCCGTATCAACATGGCAAATTAAAAATTTATGAATGGAAATTCAGTAGAGATTCCAAATAAGCCAAAACTTGATGTATAGTGTCATAAAGTTAATGAAGCAAGTAATATTTTGTTGAATATTTATTTTATTAAATTGAATAAATTTGGGAAGTTTGTACGTTTAATGTTATCATAAATTGATCCAGAAAAAAAAAAACGAAAGAGCTTGTTGTTAATACCGTTTCTTTTACGTTTTTTTTTTATTTCATATTACTAACGGTTACTGGAGAAAGATGCAGACATAAAGATAGTAATGTGATATTCTTCTGAAGTGTGGGGTCTTGCCATTCACTTTAAGTGTTGGTAAATAAATTTCATCTTCCGAAAGAAAGTATTTTGTGTACACAAAAACGGTATTGTAAGCATTTTTAATATATCTCCATGTTTTGAATATTTTAGAGATATCTAAACTAATCTGAAAATTGAAATTGAATTAATTAAAATTCCCAAAATCTACTTTCTTAGTTTGTTCATTGATTTCGTACTTGATATTATACCTAACCTTTGCTTAAATGATGACTGTTAACTTTTTTATTTGGAACTTTTGCTATAAAATACTTCATGTTTAAAATTTTTCTATCAATTTTATTACGTAGATCTTTCTTTGGTCGGGGTAGAAGGTAGATAACTTATTTAATTTCTGAAAAGCTGCTCCAGCTTTGACGGTTTTATAAGATATAATTTCCTGTGACAGCGAAAAGCGTCTTCTTCGCGTGTAGCCAAGATCTTTCGCAATTTTACGTTTTATGCATTGGAAGTGGAGGAAACGTCATCGTCGAAGAAAATTAGGTCAAAAAAACTAATACACCTTATTTTTTGCTTTTTCACTTCCTTACTTACTCAAGTAAATACGTACTAGGTACGTTGGAGAAATATAACTTGGTTTAAATAAAGAAAAAGTAAGAAATCAGAATGCTTTTCTTATGGTAAAATTGTAAGGATGATTTTTAAGCGTATTTAGTTAAATTATTTAGAAATATTTCTTATTCACTTGTAGGCAGGTAGTTTAATTTTTGTAAGGGTGTGCTTAGAAACTGGAAGTTTTTTTAAGCGGTCAGTTTTTATTATAAACTTAAATAGAATAAGTTTGCAATATTAAAATACGAAATTAACTGCAAACAAAACTCTTAATCTATTTTTTAAATTAGTCAACTTTATGACCTTATACGGTAGCCAGCAATTGCTTCTTTTTTAACGAAAGTGTAATAAATTCTGATATTAAGTTCTTACTTTGTAATATTGGCAGAAATATAGTTTTTGAGGTATTATATTACATATTCAGTCAAGCAAATAATAAATTATTTACTAGATAAAAAGGATTATTGCTTTTACTTGTAGGTACATGCTTTTTGTATAATGTGAGATATTGTACAAGTGTAAAACATGTTACTTAACATACATCAGGTAAGACCGTGGCACAATTTTCGATTACAAATAGCTAAAACAGGTAAAACAATTGTTGACTATTTGAAAAACTATTAAACCATTATACCGGATGAATTCAACTGAATCGACTACTTACCTTAATTAGATATCTATGGTAGGTATACATATGATTAGGGGATTCGGTTTGCTACTAGTCAGGTACATACCTAGTTATGTTCAGTGCCCCTATCTATCGCTTAAAAGCTAACTCAATTAGGTGTTTGAATTTTATTATATAGGCATTTTTAAGTAATTAGAAAGATGCTTTGTTGGGCTTCAAGTACAAGTATTATAGGATTATTAGAAGACGATTTTGGATGCTCATGATTTTTGATAAGGCTATCATTTCAACTTTTTCTCAGTTTTACATTGACAACTAAACTAACGCACCGTCATTTTTATAGAAGTACATTGACATTATTGAGAAAATTGAGTTTGTTTTGAGGCATTTGTTAAACAAATTAATACATTGTTCTTTCACTCATTTTGTTTCTAGTTCCTGATAGTGTTTTACAAAAGAAAATTTCAAAACTAAAACGGTAAAATAATGGTTAGCTAAAGTGCTTTTACATATGAGTACATATTTATATAATATTTTCATTAATGCGTTACAAACAAACATGTAAAAATATCTCATAATGTTTGACTTCATTTTTACATACCAAACAAGTATTTATAAATGTAATAATGTTATTGTCAGTTTCCAAGTAAATGGTTGTTCTAGAAATAATTTTTGCCATTTACAAATGTTTGTTTTGTGTTGTTTTTCTTTTATTATTTTTGGAAAGTGACACAGGGTTGTTTTAATAGAACGTTAGTTGACGAAATCATGTATGCTTTTTTCTTGGAACAAGATGTTCTAAAGCATTTACGTAACTGTTGACTGACTAGAGATTTTTTCGCGTTGTTAACTTCAACTCTCTTTTAAACATATTACAGGGTGTTCTAAAAATAATACAGACAAGTACATATATATATATATATANACTTGAAGAGGTTACACAACTACGTTATTTGTGTCTGATGATTTTTTTCTCATTGTGTGGGTTACATTTCAAGTATAACCCTATGGAAAATATTCAAAATTCCCCACGAAGATAACAAAACATGTTGTATTGTAAGATTAGAAATAATAATTTAAATGTACCGACGTAAAAACTGACTTCAATACTTTGCCTTTATGCACAATCTTAAATTAAAATGTTAACAAGTACAAGTAGGGCCACAATTGATATGTAAGCCATAAAATGAAAAATTTAGATGGAAATGATGAGGGATGTAATCTTTTCAAGGAGCTTTTTTATAATTTTCCCCAATTTTCTACCCTTATAAATGACTAATGTAATCCCATGAGACCCCTCGTCCCTTCCTATGCAATTACAATGTCATTTTTTTAATTAAAAAACTGTACATGACAAGAACAATTTTTGCAAGTCAGCAAATACTATTCTTCTCAGAAGCTTTAGTAATATTTGTTGTTGAGAGCTCTAAATAAAAGTACATACTGGTTTTGGTGAATTATAGTAATAGTTTTCGCTAACACATTTGTTTACCTTCACAATAAATGTATTAGGATTTAATTTATCGCTAAAATTGAACCTTGACTAATAACTTACAATATTCATGATGTTATAAGTAGGTGTTTTGAAAATATTTTTGTTTTTCATAAAGGTGAAACTAAAGCAGCTCTATACACCATGAAATTGGTAGAAAGTAATAAACTGAATTACTGGCAAATTGACTGCAAAGGGGCATGTAATTAAAGTAATTTTAGAGCTGTGGATAAGTACTGCTTTGATAGATTATATAGCATTTAATGTGTTACTTATATAATATTAATTGGAGCTAAAATCTTCATTATTTTTGTGAATTTATTCTGTATTGGTGAAGTTACTTGCCGAATAGTCCTGTCTATTCTATAAAATAGATTTTGCAGCTTTTCTTGTTAGTTTAAAATTTGATTATAGTTTTTCTTTTTTTAGAATTATTGATCAAAAATGGGTTAACTTTAAATGTTCTTGACTAAAATTTATAAAGAGAATCAGAAATGATATGATATCTCATAATGTTTTACAGCTGGTTTTTACTACTTTTAGTTATTCCAAAATCTTCAATTAACTTAAATATTCAACTTAAGTTCAGAATAAATTTATTTATTTGCTATTTGCTATTAAGTATTAGTTGAATGGTTGACGCACGCTTTTAATTCTTGTAACGCCGTCACACTGACAGTATGTTTTAATTACAAACTTGTTTCTAGTGGTTTTACAATAATTGTGTTAAATTACTTTCACCTGAAGAAGGCACTGTGTGTCGAAACATGTAGTTATTTTAATACTAATTGAAATTAAACCACTTGTTTATTGTTATGGCATCCACTCTTGTTATCCATGTCCCTGCCATTGCTGTTTGCATTTGTTTATGAAACATCTTTTTTACGCGTTAGTGAACAAATAAATTAGTGGTTATAAATAAATAATAATCGCCTGTTAACGCAATAAAAAAGCGGAACAACCGCAACTTGTTTCGGGTCGATTTCCCATTTTCAAGGTAAAACTTACCTTTTTGCATAATAGGTAATAATTATGTTTTGCATAACACTTCGTACATTATATTTAACATAAGAAGTTAACGCTATAACTAGGTATAAATACATTGAATTAGATCGATGTGAAACATCAAAAGTTTGAGGAAAAGATTCATTTGAAATTTAATTCACGTGTTTCAGAGTTGTTGGCAATTAATCAAATGGTTAATCAGCATAAACAAGGAGGATTTTTGTGTATTTTTGTGTCTGCTAGGTTGTAGTTAGTGTTCTGAAGATTAAGCTATTAATTCTGACGTTACAAGCATTTTTTTTAATAATTGTGTTCCTAGAAACGTTTATTGACAGAATCAACCGTATGTCCAATATAAAATTTAGTAAGTACTTGCACTTAAAAGAGTGTTAATAAGAAATGATAAGGTTTTTTTTTAAACACAAAGGTATAGGTTAAAAAATATTTATTTA